ATGCAACTTGACATGTCCACCTTTCTTCCCTTAAAAAAAACCAAGTCACCTCTTTTAATATGCTGACTATGCTGAACAGTGATGAACTTTACAATTAAAAACTGAGACCCTGAATTATCTTACTTGAAAATAAGAACAATTTGCTGACCCTCCTTAGACAGATAACTATTAAACTCAAGAATAAGTTCAAGAGAATCTACTTCCCTGGAAAACTTTCAGAGCCCACAAATTATCATGTATCTCAGGGATTTTGCTGCAACCCTGACCAGGGTCAAAGAGTCACATCCTTCTCAGAATCAACCCTATGATTTTGATTGCAGATCTTCATTAACTAACAGTCCTGAATTTTACCCAAGAGCTTAACATCTCTTTATTAGACAAGCTTTTAAACCTGCCCACTTTTCAATGATCTGGCCTGAACTCAAAGGAAGAATTATTTTATCTAGACACTGTGTTGTGTGAGTCGTTTTTCAAGTATACTAAAAATTTGCTTTATTTTTAATGCCCGGAGCCATTGACCTTGGCTTCGAGGATAATGTTGAAAGTGGCTCTTCATGATTAGACTGGAACTCGAGCAAATCTTAGATTTATTGGCAATTCATAGGTGAATCTAACCATGGGAAGAAGTGTTTGTATTCATTAAATAGCACTCCAGGAGAAAAATGGCAGGAATTTTAGATGTCGAGACATTCGTTAAAAGATTCAGTGCTTGCCCGGCACAGTGGGGCTCAGTCTGAGAAGATGGTGCCAAGCCATTCCCTGAGGGATGGTGCAGAAGGGGCGATCGCCAAGCACCCCCCTCACTGTTCACTCTGGAGCTTCCTCCCACCTTCTGCAGCTGAAATGGGCCCACGATGCCTCTACAGCACACAGGCCAGCCTCTCCTGTGGCTTGTGTTTGCCTTCAAAGCAGCATTCCCTGCTTTTAAACCTCTTGATACAGGTGCAGTCAGTGTTGTCAGTAGCATGGCCATAGCTCTGAGATTCCTTCTGTCCACAGAATACTGGGAAACTCATATTAACTCCTCACTTCAAATGCCGTCCCTGATTTTCAGATATCCTTTTGGTAAGTTTTCCTGTAGATATTCTTGAACTCTCACTATAAAAGCTTCCTTCAGATTTCATTTCCCCTCCTGTACACCTTTTGCTTACTCACCTAGCAGTTAGTAATCTAATAAAGTTCTTTCAAAGTGATGTCACCCCTCTAAGACTAAGGGCTCCTTGAGAACCGAAGCTGTTTTTTCTTTGTCTTTGAATTTCCACCAGGACATCTCAAAGTCTTTTGTTCGTTCAGAAGCACTCTTTAAGTGTTGACTTTTTACAAATGGATAAACTGAGCTTTGGAAAGGAGTGCATGGCTTCAATTGTAGGGAAACTCATTGGTGCCTGGCGAGCAGAACCCAGACCTGCTCCATTCCCATTTGGTTCTCTCTGCCTGCTATACTAGCATTTTCTTTCTTTCTAGCCCTGCACTTCAATTTGCATTCTAAAGTCAACTACAGTCCATAAAAAGGAAGCATCTTGGTTCCTTTTGCAACATTAAAAATTCATGGCCAGAAACCCTGGGAGTCTCAAACCTTTCTTCCTCTCTAATGACCTTACTGGACCAAACCTTGCACAAAGGACGGGGCCAATTCTTTCCTTGTCACTATATACCCAGTATCTAGCCTAGTGCCTAGGACATAGCAAATACTTAATAGTCACTTGTTGAATTAATCATGAACCCACTGCTTCTTAGTTAAAAGACTCAGGGGCTATTGGGGAATTAGCGAACAATGCTCTCTCATTTGGCAAAGTGAGGCTCAATTGAATTACCTATTGCACACCTACTACCCACCTTGATATTTATATCACACTCCCCTTCTCTTGTACCTCTTTTAGAAAATCTCCTGTGTTGGGGAGGAAAAAAAAACAACGCCAGTGTTCAAGCTGAGCCTGGCTTCTCTTGCATACCTAAGAAATCCTTTCCTCTCTGCCAGGCCTCTTCCTAATTCTCACACCACAGGAGATTATCTCTGTAATCCTGCCGCATGTCCTGATTCCTTCCCCCCCTCTTGTCTCCCTCTTCCCTCCTGTTCCCAGTGAAGCACTACCTTACTTTCTAATCATGTTCAGAGTCTCTCAGGATTCCTTGACACAATTTTAATGATGCCAAACCCTGAAGCTGTACATCAAAGAAATGAAGACTGAAAATGATCTGTCTTGTCACGGATCCAGTCAGCTGGGTGTCCTAGACTTGGAGTGTGTGTGTGTGTGTGTGTGTGTGTGTGTGGGAACTGTTCTACCTTCAGCCACAGATGCCGAGCCTGTGTTTAAAAAAAATCATAAATCATTTTTAAGTGTTCTGGTCTACATTTTTTAAAAACTTTATTCAAGTGAATAAGCACGTATTAATTAGAATCAATTTGGGGGAATTTTAATCACTTGTTTTTCATGATGGAGTTTGTTAGAGAGCAAGAGGAGGGGATGTGAATGTGTGCTGGAGAGCTGGAAATAAAAAGGAAAGGGAGAGAAGCAAGTGAGAAGCGCCTGATATTCATCTCGTATCCAAGACTGTATCCTGTGTTGAACTCCCAGCATTTCCTCTCTGGCACCACTACTTTCTGGAATTTACACAGATGTAGACAATTATGCCTTGGAAACTTGAAATTTGGCTCCCAGAAAGGTTTATCCCATTGTCTACACAGATGCCACATGAGTGAGAATTTAGAAAATTCAGGGGTTTGGAAAACGGGCCTCCTCTATTCCCTTCCAAGCTCGTGGCATTTAGAAACAGAGCAAGGCTCTCCCATAGATGTGGGTGTGACTCCACGGGCAGATTTGGCTGATCTGCCAGTCGGTGTCCTTTTCCTCCCCACATCTGTTTTCCAAGAGCAGGGCCCCTCCCGTGAGCGAGCTCCACACCCCCCATCAAAGGGGAACAAACCTCCCCCTCTGTGGCCAAGTTGCCCTAGGCCAATAAGCAGCTGCTTTTTCCCAAAATGTCCTTCAGAGCTCCTGGGCCCAAGTAGAGGGGACAATACTGCCCTCAAGACATCTTTGGCATCAACTAACACCAGTTCTCTAAGACGGGTATCTGTGAGCTAAATGGCCTGAGAATGAAAAGACAGCCCTGCCCGGGCTCCTGCCAGGCAGCTGCCGGGTTGCAGGCGGCTTCAGAAACCGACACCTGCCCTCAGATAAGGGATCAAAGGGAAGCTGTGCAGTGTGCCAGGCTCAGGACAGAGAGAGAAATCAAACTTCTGACCTTCTGGGTGCTTCTGTTTCACCAAAGCAACTCACACCCCAAGGCACTGATTTTACAGAAGGTGCATTTTAGGGTTGGCTCCCCATAGGAAATTTCTTTGCTGGTACTTGTTTGAAGAAGGCGGAGAAAAGGTAAAAGAAGAGAGTGAATGAATCACAGGCCCTTCAACACCAGCCAAGCTCCTTCCCTGTCTTTCAGGATTTGTTTGCAAGGGGTGGGGTTCAAATTTGCACTCCAGGGCAGTGACTGCAAAAGTACTTGTATGTATTTACTTACTATTCATTTAGTCATTTGGTTTTTGAAAAGGGTCCATAGCTTTCCTTGGATTCTCAGAAAAATCAGTATGGGCCAAACCAGGTTAAGAACTGTTGCCCTGTAGCTTAAATTATTTCCTATTCCCTGTCATCAGGGACAGAGACCCCAAAAGTGGAGGTCCAATAGTGCAAGACGAACTCAAGCTGTGGCCAAATTCCCTGAATAGGAAAACTGGTGCCCACCACATTGACTCCCTCCTGAATGACATCATACCAACCTCCACTGCTAAAGTAAGTGAGGCGTGAAATAGCCCTCTCACCACCATCTCATCCCAGCATCATTTATTCCTTTCAGGCCACCCAGTATATTTCCTTACAGCCCTTTCTCTGCCTCATTGCCCCTCCCCAGTAAGAAGAGCCCAGGTCAGGCACCTTCTGTCGTGGACAGAGTCCTTACCTTCTCTACTCATTCTGGGCAAAAGAACGTTGACTAAAATGGTCAGCTGAGGACACCTGTCCTTGTTCCTGTTCTTCACGGTACCTAAAGGGGTTGTAATAATCCAAGACTAAACAAGGGCATCAAAAGGATTGCGGTAATTGAGCTTATGTAAGCCTACACACCTAAGTAACAACTATAAACAATACCCAACTGGATCACAGGGTGCGGTTCTGATGCGAACAGGAGAATTGGTGAGGTCCTCAGGCAGGAGGATTTGACAAAAGGGCATGTCTATGTCCAAACTTTCTGTTGCTGTTTCTGCTGTTGGTACTTTTCATAGTCTGCCCTTTTCCCACCGCTAACAATCCAGTTCCTTCTATCAGTGCTAATATAATAATTGTAAAGAATGATCAGCCTTTTTTTAAGTTCAGACTTTAAGTAGAGAATCTTTATCCAGTACAGTGCTGCGCCAATAGTCCTGTCTTTGCTATTTTGCTAATGCTCTAGGGTGACACTTTTAATTTATCAGCCGGGTATAGGTATAGACCAAGCCCGCCCCAGGCAAACTGGAATGTCAAGGTCGCTGCGCCCTGCCCAGAATCGTGCGGTGCTCAGCGATTCACTCTTTCCCGGCACACTCCCTGCATCCCCGGCTTCATTTGGGATCTCTCCCCAGCTAAGGCGGAAATGGGAGAAGATGCTTTTGAGCAAGAGGAAAACCAATTCCAAGTTAGGAACTACCTGAAGAAGAAAAATCTCCCATTTTAGGAAAGTCACGAACTCTACGCTGCTCCCGGTGCTGCATATCACACATTCTTTGGCTGCAGTCGGCCAGCTGGTCAACCTTTTCATGTTCTTTCACATGTAGACTAGGCCGTGTTGTTATTTTTACTTCCCTGCTTTCTCCATAAATTGCACATGAATTTAAGGCATCATTCAACAATCATGAAATCACACACACACACACACACACACACACCAACAAACTGTTGAATCTATACAGGAATCGTCAGGAGCTAGATAAAAAACGGCCTCATGCCCATTCTTTCTTCTCTCCACAGATTCGAAATGTGGCGGCCAATCTCTGTGTGGACAGCAAGCATGGAGCCACGGGCACCGAGCTCAGGCTGGACATCTGTGTCAAGGATGGTTCTGAAAGGACATGGTCTCATGAACAGGTATGTCAGCTCCCAGAAGTCATGGGATACGGGGCCAAGGCAGGCACGGAGGGACACGGTGGCAGCGAATCTCTAGAGGGGTATGTGGGAGGTCCTGGTTCTGTAGGTGAGTGAATCTCTCCACGTCTCTGTTTCTGTCCCTTCTCAGAGCAGCTGCGATAATCAATTGAGATAATGCATAAACATGTGCTTTAAATCACAAAAAGGATGGGAGAAATGTTGACTATGGCCCTAGTCTTATATTTCCTTTCCCAGAATAATAGTTTTCAAACCATGAAAGGCCCGCTGAAGGCTATGGAACTCTTCCAACTAAATTTCATGGTTTTAATAAAAGTCTCTTTGTTACTCCATAAGCTTGTGTGACTTTAATCTTATTTTCCCCTCCGACTGTATATTGAAAAGAGTGCTTTACATGCACCTCTTGTTGTTGTAGGAGTTTGTAATCTCTCCCATGAAAGATATCTTTGAGGCAGTAACACCCCAAGATGAACTTCAGGGGAGACTTAAAGGCCATTTATTGCTTTTGATTGAAAAAAAAACATTTCCGTGCTGCTGGGTTTATGAGGTGAGGTGTGATCCCTGCCCCCTGACCCGCTTTGAAACCCGACAGTCCTTGTGCGGGTCTTTCCTCACACTGCGCCCCCTTTTAGTGTTTTAGCATTAACTACGAAATATTTCAAATAAGAAACTATAAAATACAGTATAGCAGACATTTATATATTCATCATGCAGATTTAACAAGTATCTACAGCTATCTCCCTATTTTTTAAAAGAATAAAATTTTCAGATACAGTGAAAACTCCTCCCTCCCCATGCCTCTCTCCCTCTGCAAAAGGATGTATTCCAAGTTCAGGACAGTATGTGCTTTCTGTTTCCCAGAACTCTCTGCGCTTTCTGTTTCCCAGAATTGTCCACAGTACCTCTCTTAGGAAAACCAAAAAAGTAGACAAGCGATTTCCAGCGAAGTATTGGTGGTATTCTATTCTGTTCCATTCCGTTCTGTTGTTTGCCGCAGTCCTTAAGTGTCTGTCTCGCTTATTACCAGCAAAGAGCGGCGAGGCCCAGCCGAGGGCCTCAGCGAGTGCTCGGGTGGGCTGAGGTCCAGCGTGGCGGCTCAGCGCCCACCCACGGCCCCTTCCCGCCCCCTCTAGCCTGCAGCCCAGTGCAGAGCAGCGTCCTTCAGGGAAGCAGCAGCGGACCAAGCCCGGAACACAGCCCAGAACTAATTCGCTCAATCACTGAACCAACAAGCCCACCCCCAAGCCGGTAATCTGCCCTCGTACTCTTATCCCACAAGCTCATGATGTTCTAGAAGGACCCTGGGCCTTGGTCAGGTCAACCCAGATTTCAGCCAGTTTAGCCTGTGTGTCCTTGTGAAGTCAGTAAGCCTTTCTAGGCTACAGGTCCTCTGTCTTTAAGTAGGAACAACAATCCATCCCACAAACAGGGTTACTGTGAGAAGTAATCGTGTCTATGATACAACAGCCTCTTGTCCATGGAGTCGGTGCAGAGTAAGCATATTCTCCCGTCTGCCCTCTCGCAGTTCCTCCCCCCAGAGCGCTTTACACTGATCCCAAATTAGAGCTCTCTCGGGCCCCAGGCAGCTGACACACACCAGATGCTATTTATCCTGCACTCCGATCTGTCCCGCAGTGTGGCACACTGATCGGCGGGATCTGGAGAAGGCTGCAGCCCCGGGGCGCCCTGACAGGAATGAACCGTCAGTGAAAGCGGGCTCGCCTTCCGCTCTTCCTCTCTCTTTCCATGAGCACCGCGGGGATGCTCCCAGGGATGTGAGGCGGTGCTGGCCGGCTCCTTCCCAGAGCGATTCTGACTTCAGCCTGAGAGCAAGAGAGAAGGCTCAGAGGCCTCCCAGGAAGACTGGCATCTAGAGAAGAAAGGTTATTTTTAAAAAGAAAACGGAGCATGCTGTAAGGAAACTCTGTCTGAAGGGCAGACTCCCTCTCTGCCACCTCTATTCAGTCCCACCAGGAAACACACCCAGGCAGCCGGTTGAAATGAGGTGTGCATACCTGAATCAGGATTAATATTTCTATCCCCTGGACTGTTCTAGAATGAAATAGGCTCTGGACTTCAGATTTTATTTGACTGATGAAAATAAAGATATATAAAACCAACTCTATGGCATACACTTTAAATTTTATTCTTTGATTTTCTTCCCCCCTCAGGCAAAACTGTGAACATCTATGGCATGTAATTCAAGAAATAGTCAGCAGAGGGCAGCACTAGACAAGCAGACTTAAGAGGAGCTAAAGGGACCTGTTAATAAATCTCTTTAAAAAGATTTCCAGTCTCTAGAGACTGAAAACGGAGCTACAGGAAGGTTAAACAAGGTTGACAGGAGGTGAAAAATAAACCATATTTGAAATACGTATCACGCTATATTGACTTGGAGGTGAAAACACTGCAGGCTGCTTCGTTTTCTAGCAATTAACTGTAAGCTTTATTCGGTATATCACTCAATGACTTATAAGAATTAGGTCTCATTCTTTCACATTTAGATTAAAATCCCTGAATGAGAAAAGAAGTATATAAGGACAGGAAAATTATAAGTATTCTTTTTCATTCAAAAGCATTCATAGAACATAAAGGTACACTTACGAGGGTTGAAATGATCCTGTATTTAATAAACACAACAGTTACATGGGAACTAAAGGAGACTCTATTGAAGCACCATTTTTGTTTTCTAGTTGAGGGAGAAAATATTTATTCCCAGCGTTTCCAAACAGTGAAGATGAGTTCGAACTTTATCCTCCACATGAATCATAACAACTATGTAAAAGGTACTTGGGAAAACACTGCAGAGAGGTGTGTGAAATATGAACAGTCCCACTTAAGAGCACAATCATTAGCCTTACTCAGACCTTAGAAAACTTCTGAGAGTGAATTTGTTGCAGGGGAAATACTTAAAGTTTGAAGGGAGAGAAACTACTACTTAGAATAGCATTCCTGACCTGTTCTTTTGATTGTTAATTCTCTTTTTTTAATCATTTTCTATTTTTAATTATAGTTGACACACAATATCAGGCACACCCCAGTGATTAGACGTTATATAACTTACTAAGTGATCCTTTGGATAAATCTCATACCCGCCTGGCACCAGGCATCGTTATTAGAATATTATTGACTCTGTTCCCTACGCTGCACTTGGCATCCCTATGGCTGTTCTGTTCCTACCCAGTCGTACTTTTCAATCCCTTCACCTTTTTCACTCATCCCCCCCAACCCCCTCCCATCTGGCAACCCTCAAAATGTCCTCTGCATCTGTGAGTCTGCTTCTGTTCTGTTCGTTTATTTTGTTTTTCAGATATGATTGTCGATAGATAAGAAAATGCCTTGTGTTGCCAAGCACCGGTGATGACTAATTGGACTTCTGTGAAGGAAGCAAATGTCTGTGATTCATTTTTTAGGGCCATCTATTTAGCTGTCTGATATCACTGTAGCATTGTGTGCTGCCTTTCAGTTTCCTTTAGGGACCAAGAAAGAAAACTAAAATTAGACTGAAATAGACTGTAGGTCTGGAAAGGATACTCCCCAGCGGCAATTATATTATGAGTCCCTGGGAGGGGAAAGGAAGGGAGG